ATGAAACACAGACTGCATCATGAAATGTCTTCTTATACATGACATCTAACTCCAATCTTTTTACTCCACTATTCTAAACAAAAAGTGCAAATCCTAGATCCCAATTGTCCACACGATCCCCTTAGATTCTGAAAAATAAAGGCGAAGTGTGCTACAATGAAAAAACTTAATCCAAATCAACAAATTAAAGTAGCAAATTGCAAGATGAGCTGAAAAAACGAAAATTTTTAACTGCTAATAAAATCCGATAAATCGCAGTTTCACTAAATTACAAAAAAAAAAAACATGTATCAAGATGAAATCAAAATTACGATTTTGATAAATATCTGTAGAAATAAAAGACCCCACGGGTCGTTTGGGCCCCGTGGGCGGAAGAAATTAGGAAAAGGAAGGGCTGAACTGATACCGGATGACTCTGAACAAGCCGTCCAAAAGACGAAATTGGTCCAAACTTAACTCTAGCAAAAATACCCATGGCTGATCGATTAGACACACATTCTAATAGAAAGTTATAATAAGAAGGAATGAAATGAAGAAAAGAAAAGAAGGTAAGAAAAGAAAATTTTGAAAATTTGTGAAATTATTATAATGATAAGAAGTTAAACTTTGCATGAAGCGGCATACGGAATTATAAGCCGCTTGTAGCATCCATGTTGATGGGTGCCAAAGTAAGGGAAGTGCATATAAAGGGGAAAAATAGTAGGAAAAAACATAAGTTTCATAAGCTTGCGATGTATCAAAGTGCTACTATGGCCAGGTCAACAAGTAGTGTCGACATGGAACTGGTCAGAAATGACCAGCAAAAAAGCATAAAAAAAATTTCCAAACAGAGAGGCCCAAAATACGCACCGTAGATAATATTTAAAAAAAATCCATAACAATCCGTTCCTTAAAGCTGGTATTCCCAGAATTTGCAAGGCAAATGCTGCGCTTCTCTTCTTTCCTATGCAGTTTTTACAAGCAAAAATGCAAAAGCACGTTCCAGTGTGAGTAATTTTGATTTACTCTGTAGCAAATAGCTTAGAAATTTCTGAAAATTCGAAAAAAATTGGATATGAAACATGAAAAACTAAAAGGGCAAGGAGTGAAGTAAGTATCAATACCGGAAACTTATCAGAAAACAGGACTGCCGCTGAAACTGCGTGGAACGACCCCGGAATTTTGGCCATCTTTCGAACATTTTTGCTGTCAAAAATCAGAAATCGCTATTTTTTGCAGCTAAATCTTAGGGGGATGAAAAGTGGGAAACATTTTTCATGGACAATCCTGAGAAATTAAACATGAGTATTGCGTAGTGATCAAGTTTCTCCACAGACAAGCCTGTGAGATTACGCAAAAGTACTGTGTAGCGCTGAACTTGTTAGGTGGAGC